TTCAAAAATATTATATACTTATATATAAACTTATATATATATATCATGAAAATAAATAAATGATAAAAATTATTAATATTTTTAAAATAATTTTTATACTAATTGATATTTATTCCCTACTTTAATTTAATTTAAATAACTTATCTTTATTTTCTCGTGCATCGCACGAGTTATACACTAATTAATGTTATAAAATATATTAAACAATAAGGTTAAATATAAAAAATTTCAAAAATAATATGTACTTATAATTATTATATTAACTTTATAATTATTGTATATTTTCAGGCGTAAAAAGTAATACTTTTAATATATTTTGATAATAATTTTAAAAAATTTACAAATTTTGGGCGCCTAGACCGTGCTTAGACCGCCTAATAAATTTTGGAAGATGGCACCGATAAAGACAGCCTAAACGAAAATAGCGAGTCGCGGTCATTGATGACATGAATAACTAGTGTACTCCCCATGCGCTGCACGATAAGGTTTGTTCCTCAAACCCTTTTTTCTAAACTTTATTTTAAATATTTTTCCTTAAAAATTAATCATTTGATTATAATTCGAAAAAAAAAGAGAAATACAAAGTATAAAAAAAAATGTTATTAAACACTTCGCAACATTCTTGGTTTGATAAAAGTTTAAGTATTTGTTATTTTTTTATTAAATATTACTCACCCTTAACGGAGAAAATTCACGTTTTAGAAGTTCACAAGACTTGCCAATCATCCATTCACATTCTCTATCCCAACATATGAAAGTGCCATTCGCAGAAGCATCAACGACTCCAAATTGAATCTTGTATGTTTGTAAATACGAAAAGCATGCCATAAAGTACCAAATGATATATTATTTAATTAAAAATTATTTAGTATTGCGAAAAAAAAGAATTTATTCTAACCGTGCAGTGTCATGTGAATAGGTGCACTTGGTGCAATGCATCTCGCCATCTTCACTCTCCGTCTTGCTATTGCACCTTTGTACACAAGGTACCACCATTATCAATAATTGAGTCGATTGTGGGACAAACTCATGTGTCCATAGCCTTTCAATAAGAACATTAAGTTTTTAATCATAACAAAGAATATGTATAACATTTATATGGAATGATTTTATAAACTAAAATTGAAATATATTTTTTGTACTATGAAATCAGATTTTAGCATTTATATTGAAAAAAAAATTGAAATCTAATATTTTATATGCAAATGAAATTTACTTTCCTAACTGTAGTGGACATAAATTGTGCTACCTTATGAGATTAGATTTTAGCATTTATATTGAAAAAACATAAGAATCGTAATCTAATATTTTTTTTTTTTGCAAAGAAAATTTACTTTCCTAACTGTAGTGGACTTTCTTTTAGAATTTTAGTTTTGTCAAATTACTATCAATATGAGAAGAATCGTAATCTTTCCTTTCTTTTTTTTTTTTCCAAATAAAATTTACTTTCCTAACTCTAGTGGTATTTTTTTTTAGAATTTTATTTTTGTCAAATTACTATCAATATGATTTTCAATATCTTCAAATTATACTTATTTTAGGATTATTACATATCTATTTTTTAGTTGATGAGATTATAAAAAAATTTCAATTGTGCAATTGTTAGTTATGAAAATCGTGCAAATGAGTTTTACTATGCCTAGGTATTGTTTTATAATTATAATAATGTTAAATTGCTATCAATTAGAGTGGTAATCTATTGTTGACATTAACTAAATTCGTATTTTTTTATTCGCAAGAACAAAAAAAACATTTGAAATAAATTGAATATTTAAATTAACAAAAATTCAGATTTTTTGATTGGCAAGACAATCGGCTTTTAAAAAAATAAATAGCATAAATATATCCGATAGAAACAAAATTAGGCCCGATTTTGTTTCCTTTTTTTTTCCCGAAACGATAGAGATTGTATTACTAATTCTCAAAAGAGAAAATGTATAGAGTACAATTGAGAAATACAAATCGGAAAGGACAAACTGGGAGGCACATACAAGATGGCCTAAAGCCTCAACAAACTGGAACAAACTAGGAGAAAGTAAAAAGAGAAATCTTATCACCCGCAACTGCTTCAAAGCCTAGCAAGATGATAAAACCCCAGAAAAACTAAAAGACACACAAACAGTCCTAAAACATATATAGAATACAGCAAACAGGTCCAAAAAAGAAAGCCAAAAACATCACGACAAAGAACAAACACACAAGTCAGCCCACAGCTCGAGTATACTGCAACCAGTCAGAATGAGCAGCAATAAGCACTCTATGGATTGGCATCAGAGACTTCTGAAATACCCATAGGTTTCTTGACTTCCAGAGCCACCAAAGCAGGTACGTTGACAGTTGAATCCTAGCTTCGGCTACCTCTGAAGAGCCAAGGGAGCAGAGTTGTTGCCACCAGCATTTGAAAGAGTCAGTGCAGCAAGTTTGTGGATCCCATGTGACAGGTGATAACTCCCAAAATGTTGCAGTTGGACATGAGAAGAACAGGTGTTCCATGGTTTCAGGAGCAGCTCCACATATAGTACATGTAGTATCAATATCAATGCCTTTTCTCCTGAGATGAGTTGCCACAGGTAGAGTGCCTGAAATACACTTCCATAGGAAGTGCTTAACTTTATTCTGAATCTTCAATTTCCAGCATATGTACTGCAAAGCTCTCTTCTGAGGAGTGGATGAACTGCATTCTGGGATGTCTAGTTGGGAGAGTTTTTTAGCAACAAGGTGATCATAAGTGCTGGAAACTGTGAACAGACCTTTCTGGTGTAATCCCCAATAGAACCTGTCTTCTTTGTCTGGTTTCAAGGTATTGATGTTGAGGATGGCTGTGCTGTCTTGTACTGGGAAAACTTGGTTAATGAGCCATGTGTTCCATTCCCTGCCATTGTCTAACAGTAGGTCCTTAACCCAGATAAGATGGTCCCTGACAAGTTCCATTAGCTGAGGAGAAGGTTTAGAAAGAGTGGGAACCCAGTTGAAGTCAGCAATCCTGGTGTTAACCCCATTCCTAATTTCAATTTTTAGCCACTGAGAGAAGATAGGCATCATATCCATCCAAGAATTTCACAACCAAGACCCATTTTGACATTTACCAGCATGAACAATCGAGTTATTTGGGAAGTACCTGTCCTTCAAAACTCTGTTGACCAAGAGTTGAGGGTTGGTTGTAATCCTCCATAGTTGTTTGCAGATTAAGGCTTGGTTGAACAATCTAAAATCCAGAAACCCTAGACCTCCTTGCAGCTTAGGAAGAGCCAGAAGAGTCCATTTTTTCCAGTGAATGCCAGAGGATTCCTGATTTTCTGATTTCCACCAAAACTCATCACATAACTTAGCCAATTCTGAACATAGAGTAAGGGGAATTTTAAAACAGGACATTGTAATTATAGGAAGTGCTTGCACCACAGCCTTGAGCAACACCTCTTTCCCAGCAGAGCTAAGCAATTTTGTTTTCCAACTGGTCAGTTTAGCTTTGACAGAGGTGAAAAGGTAATCAAAGACTTCTTTCTTTGACTTTTCAATGCCTAGAGGGAGTCCCAAATACCTTGTTGATTTGTGAGCCACAATCCCATTCAAAGTGTTGCAGATAAGGTGTTGAAGCTGCAAAGGAGTGTTTTTACTGAAAAAGGTAGCAGATTTCTTTAAATTGACTTGTTGACCAGAAAATAGCCTGTATTGCTCCAGCAAGTTCAAAAGAACAGTAGCCTGATCCACCCCTGCCTTACAGAAAAACAAAGAATCATCTGCAAATAATAAGTGTGTCAATGCAGGCCCATTCCTGGATAGCTTAAGTTCTTGCAAATGACCTTTGTTACAGGCATCAGAGATTAGAGCAGATAGGAGTTCAGTCACAATTATGAATAGATAGGGGGATAAGGGATCCCCCTGCCTAATCCCTCTGGATGGTGTGACATAACCACTAACTCTACCATTCACTTTGAAAGAAAAGGTTGCAGAAGACACACAGACCATTACCAATTTCACAAAATCCTGATGGAACCCCATTTGCAGCATAATTTTCTTAAGACATATCCACTCTACACGGTTAAAAGCTTTGATTAGGTCAAGTTTGAGAGGCATAAAATAATTCCTACCAGATGAATGTCTGTTAAGATAGTGGAAGGCTTCTAGTGCAATGATAACATTATCTAAAAGTTGTCTTCCCTGGACAAATGCTGATTGGTGGTCACTAATGCACTGAGTTCAGCAAAGTTTCAGTCTTTGAGCAATGATTTTAGATAGGACTTTGTAGACCACACTGCACAAACTGATCGGTCTAAATTGACTGAGAGTGTCAGGATTGGGACATTTGGGTATGAGGGACAGAACAGTATGATTCCAGTATTTTAAAAGCATGCCAGTTTGAAAAAAACTCAGAATAGCTGTCAGAAGATCATCCTTGATGAGAGACCAGAAGTGCTGATAAAAGGATGCACTCATCCCTTCTTCACCTGGAGCTTTGTCAGGATTGAGGCTGAAGAGAGCTGTCTTGACTTCTGCTTCTTCCACTGGTTTAAGGAGATCTGCATTGATATCAGAAGTGATGGTTGTGGGAATCAGTGGGAGCAGAGTATCCCCACCCCCAACTTCCTTCTGAGGAGAATAAGTTGTTGTAGAAGTCAGCAATGTGATGTTCAATGTCCTTCTGAGTGGTGAATGATTGGCCTCTGGAAGATAGCAGCCTTGTGATAGCATTATATCTTCTTCTTTGAAGAGTCAGAGATAGCAGCCTTGTGATAGCATTATATCTTCAAATGTTTACATTTTAAATTTTCGAAAAAATAAAGATATCACATAGGCGGGATTATTCAAATTTTGACCAAAAAAATTACTCAATTTAGTAAATATTTTAGGCGAAAAACCAAATGTTTTTTTGTTGATTTAGTTACTATTTCAAGTAAATATCATCGTCTTTTTATATATTAATAAATACATTAATGAAAATATGAAAAAACATACTAGCCTAACCTCGCTTTGACGATATTTATTCTGCGCTTCCAATATAAGAAAATTGATAATACAAAACTGGAGGAGCGGGAAGACACTGAAGTGAAAACCTCATAATAGTACTCTCATACCAAAAGCTCGAAGAAAAATAAAACAGTTCATTGTTATGGCAAGAATCAAACAAGTAGCTAGGAAAACCCGTGGGCAGAAACGCCTATGTAAGCGAATTCTTCTTGCAAACTAAGTCATTTATTTCTGCATTTTTGGAACCCTAATTTTTTCCCCTTTTATTTAAAATTTTAGTTGCAGGAGGAACTCCATCAACTTCCAATCCTCAGGCTAGAGAGTTTTCTTAGTTTCATCCTTTGTGGCTTAGTTATTTGTCGATTTGATTTGGTTTAATTTCATTTTTTTTCGGTAAAGGGCAATTTTTGGTTACCTTGTTGAAATTCTGAAGTTTCGCAATTCTGCAGCAATCTGCTAGAAGAAGTCGTCACACCACTGCTTCACCAGGTGAGTTTAGTTTTTTGGGCCTTCCAGTTTTATTTTATTTAGTTATTGATTCAAATTTTAAAGTTGGTAATGAGTTGTAGAGATTTGAAAATGCTCTATTTCTAGTAAGTTTGCTTTTGAGTATTGTTTTCATTTATGCTCTCTTGCTGTGTGTATGTGCTCTTATGCCTTCAGATAGGAGTGAAAACCAAACACGGAAAAAGCGGCGGAACAGGCCAGGAACAAAGGCTTTACGTGAGATTCGGAAATATCAGAAATCATGGAATCTTCTTATTCCTGTTGCTCCATTCATTAGAGCTGTAAGTTTTTGCACCTATGCATACACACTGTAGGTTTTAACACCAATTTTACATATTGTGGTTAGTGACTTGTGGATACATAAATACTCGTGATTTAAATTATGTTCAAGGGCTAATTCGGGGCCTATCTTTTTTGTCAATTGTATTGTCTTAAGGTCTGAAGTTCGAATGTTTGTGGTTTACTCACTGCATTTTTTCTGGTTAATTTGTGTCTCTCATAGATGTCGCGACATAACAATTTACATCTATTCATGGAAATATTTAGGGTGACACTACTGACTGAGGACTTGTCTGTCCTTGGATTATGCGTAATCTAGTTTATCAAATAACTCATAAATCAGGAATCTCTTAAATTTTTTATGTGTCGTATGCATGATATATTGAAGTGTCTAGGTGTGTAGGATGTAGATGGATAATATAAAAAGGAAGACTGCATCTATGGAGTAGGTAACTGAAGATGGTCACAATTTTTCCAAGGATATTGTATACATGGCTATTTGAAAAATGGATGAGAAATCCACTGGAAAATTAATAATCCTGTATGTCATTGATACTTCTTTATGGTTGGGTTTGTTTAGCATAAATGTGCTATGTTGGGATGATAAAGAAAAGATTTGAAAGATAGTAAAAAAAAAAAATAATTGAAGTGCTGTCATAGAGTGTGAAGGTCTTAGTGAGTCAAATATTTGAACCACATATTCTCTAATGTCGCAGGTGAGAGAGATTAGCACCTTCTACGCACCAAACATTACACGTTGGCAAGCAGAAGCCTTAGTGGCCATTCAGGAGGTATTGCAGCTCTCACATTACTCTGATTATTGAATGTTTGAGCATGAACGTCACTTTCTGCTACTGGATTCATGACATTCTAGTTTGAGCTTCTGTTGTATGTCCTTGCATTTTAGATGTGATGAAGTGGCATTTTTTTAAATGCCTTGTTCTTTTCTGCGTTATAACTTACACTAGGCCCCACTCCGAGGTCGTAACATCCTCAAACATATTGTGTTAATGATTTGACTGATAATGATTTGTAAGCAAAAAAGAGTTAATGGCTGTTAACATCTGACTTGAGTCATTTGTATTCCTAACTTTGTTGAAGATCTTCATGAATGTCTTCTTGTATGGTCATTGTTTTTATCCAGGGATATATTCCTAATGAGCAAACGTTTGATGAACCACTGGACTCAAACAAATATGTGGTGTTTATGCATTTTAAATTATGTGCAAGTCAAACTTATGTCCTGATTTTAGTTTTGCATGACCAAGTGATTGTGAAATAATGGTAGCTAAAATGAAATCTTTTCTTACTTTTACTGTTACATCAATATGTTTTCAGAACATATCAGTTTCTAGGATTTCTTGTCTCATGAATAACTATTTGGTGTTGATTTTTCCAGTCTCAATATTGTCTCCTTTTCATTACTGTCCTAGGCTGCTGAAGATTACATTGTTGAGATGTTTGATGAGGCAAATCTGTGTGCCATTCATGCAAAGCGTGTGACTTTGAGTAAGTTCTCGAGTCTACTACAAGTTCTTCAACCTGTCATCTCAGTGATTTTATTTTTATCTTTATGCATATATGTGATAAAGATGGTTTAAGTCTTCTTTCAGCAGACTTCATGTCATATTTATTCGTCTTTTTGACTTTATTGACTATTTATTTCATGCTTTGCTTTGAGAGAGAGAGAGAGAAAGATGGAACTCTGCTGTCATACGACAAAGAATGTGCTTAATTAAGCTGTATTCACATCATACGACAAAGAATGTGCTTAATTAAGCTGGATTCACATCTACTTATTGGTTTCTGAAAAACCTTTTTTCAACTAACGAAAACTGTTATGTTAAATTACTCTTTACTTGATTCCTAATTTTATGAGTTTTTTGTTCTTCTCAGTGAAAAAGGATTTCGAGCTGGCCAGGCGAATTGGAGGTAAAGGGCGGCCATGGTGGTGAGAGCAGTGTGCCTGGTTACCAATATCAAGATGGTTCTTCTGCAAAATCTTTTGACCAAATCATCCTCATGGTAAATAATTAAATGTTGGAGTTTGTTTAATCTTTAGAATTGTGCAAGCATTTAGCTCTTAGTTGTTGAATGGTGGGCAAGCGAGCTTGTCATCATGGAAACTTCAAATTTGTGTTCCTTATGAGGTGTCTCCAAATGCTTAGACAGAAAGAGAAAGTTGACTAGTTCTTTTGTTGGATGAATCTGGATTTATTTTCTGACATCCTTAACTCAGTTTCTTAACTGCCAAAATTTGTCAATTGTATTGAGGTTCGGAACTGCCTTGTCAAAATTGCTCTCAGTAGTAGTAGTTGTTTTTATTTTATTTTTTCCCTTCAATTCATGAGATGCATTGTGTAGTTCAATTATTAACTGAACTCTTATTTGGCTTCGAAATCTCAAGGCTTCAATGGACTCTGGGGGTTGTCAATCTTTTGATAGTGATAATGCAATAGGTTGTCGCCATTCAAAGGTTATCAAGTGAAAGAGCAAGTTGATTTAATCTTGAGCCATAAAGAATCCTCATGTGAGATAAGTATTGTTTCTCGTGTTTAGAAAAATTGTGCCTTTAGAGCCTCTCCAACCCGTCGCTACTTCAGTGTAATTGCGCTAAATTAGCGCAAAATCTCCCTCCAATCCTGCGCCAGAATCCTGCGGCAAAATAGATAAATGAATAGTATTGCGCCACTTCTGGCGCAATACTGTAGCTAACGCTACAATTTTTTTTTTTTTTTTTGTAATGTGTTTTAATATCATATTATTGATAATTTTTGTGTAATTTGTATTGGCATATGTATAAATATATATACATGTGATATATATATATATATATTATTGGTAATTGTTTCTATAATATGTAATAAATGTATTTATTATGTTAAATAACTTTGTGCTTTTTACTTATTGATGTGTAATAAATTTAATTTTGCATTTTTTTACTATTAAAATTGATGTATATTAATTTTATTTTGTAATTTTTTAATATTAAAATACCACCAAAAATGAATATAAGATGAAATATACATATATTAGAATTTATTTGAAATAAAAATGAATAAAAAAGATAATAAATTTGAATCAACCGTAGGATTCTTATCTAAAGATCAATGGCTAAGATCATATGTATACATAATAAAATTTGCACAAGATATGGTATAAACCATATATGGTCTAGTGTGTAAATTTGCACTAATTCATATATTTTCAAAAGTAACAGTTTTGATTCAATCGGTACATAGATGTATATGTATCTTCTTTAAGAAATTCAATTTATTACAATTATTTTTTAAATGTGAAGATATGGTCTAAACCATATATGGTCTAGTGTGTAAATTTGCACTAATTCATATACGGTCTAAACCATATATGGTCTAGTGTGTAAACCATAATTTTTTTTTATTTACTATTTGGGTAATAAATATTTATATAATATTACATATTCAAATATAGCAAATTATTCGAAATAAAAATAAATAAAATATATTTTTATTATTTGAGTAATTAACATTTTATATAAAATTAAATATACATATATACCAATTTATTTGAAATAAAAAATGAATAAAAAAATAATATATTTAATGTAGAGTAAAATGTAGAGATAAGGGCTGGAGATGAATGTTCAACTCTACTCTAGAGTAGAGTAAAGTCCGCGCTAGAGTAGAGATAAGGGTTGGAGATGGCCTTAGAGCTATAGTACTGATACGTTCCATGTAATCCCCACTACTATAGCATATGGTAAGAATCCAATCCAAGAGATGGTTAGAAACTAAGCCTAGACTGTGTTAGAGTTGAGTGGTCGAACAAAAAGTAGTTGAATATGTGAAATCCAGAGTCTAACTCTCCCCAACATTTTTGGCTAAAACAAAGCTCGAATGACGGATTTCAATTCATTTTTCAAATGTGGATCTTTATTCCGAATTCTCTTTCCTCTTTGATAAGATTAAGGTACTTCTTAGTACAAATTGTTCCATGCAACACAGAATTGAAAAGATTCCATGGAGTTGTATCTTGTACCTTTATTTATTGATGACAATTGCACAAATTAGAACTTGTGGAACCAAAATTACAAAGAGAATCAGTCTATAATCTATATTATCAAAGAAAATGAACTGTTTTAATACATCTAATTAATAATTAGACAATTTTCCTTACTGCATAACTGTTTAAATACATTTACTGCGTGAAGAAAATTGTTGAATTATTTCTTCAATGACCTTTTTCATTTTAAATTATTTTTATATACAATATATC